GCACGTTTTAAAGAATCAAAATGTGTTCTGAAACTTCGAAGGTAGCTGATATACCGTAATCGTGTTATCGGCGTTCGAAGTCAGATCGAGCCAGGCAGCGAAGTCCAAGAGCAGTTCTTGCCCAAGAAAAATACCCTGTGGTGAGTTGTGGCCCATTTGCCAAGCATTGCTAGTGTCAAAGTCTGGAAAGTGAAAACTGGTTTTTGACTTATAAAATTTGTCTTGTATCGACCGCCATGTTTTCCCGCACACGAGGTGTAAAGACCTAAGAGAAATCAACATCCTTGCCGTTGCGCGTTAACAGGAGTCAATGTTTTAACCACTTTTGACCTGAAATCAACAAATTTGAGCTTATAGAAGTTGCGTGAAATTGACATTTTGCTGGTTTCTAAGTAAAATCAAAGTCCTTGCGGTCATGGTGGGCCGATCCCTTGTTATAATAAACCGAGGCAAGACTTCCACTTATAACAAAGGCTTGGGTGCTAGGTATTTTAATCAAAAGTGAACTTTGTCGAAAACGCTCCAAATTTTGCATGCAGTTTTGTTTAGGTATGTTTAACAATGTCCCGGAGTTTTTCCGCTAAGCTTCACTTCGTTTTCGAGATATTGCGTATGCAGAAAAACCACTCGGTTTTCCTAGCGGCATCTTTATAAACGAAGCAAAAACCAGCGACAAAAATACAGGACCACGTTTTTCTATTACATTGAAGACCACATACAAAAATTCAAGCCCTTTCGCGAAAATTTTTTTTTTCACCCAAATCGTCACTTAGCATGGTTTTGCACTCACCCCTTCAATTTCTGCAATGCATGAACGAGCCAGAGTAGACAATTTGACAATTTGTCATCGTAAAAAGAAAAAAGAAATTGACATCAGTTTTCATGTGTCTGTCCTGCTATTGACAATTAAGTTTGTCATAACATTGTCAAAGTAGTCTACCTTGAGAATGTTATGACAAAATTCATGATCAATAACAGGACAGATGTATGAAAAACTGACATCAATTTATTAATATTATGTAATCATAATTTAAAGCAGTTGTCAAGTTTATTCAACCTTGGCAGTTGTTATTTTGAAAACTATAAAGCCTTGGAAGAAAAATATTACCTCAATTTTATACTGATCATTACTTCTCATCACTTCCTAAGCTTGAGATTTTTTGAGATTCAAGGTGAATAATTATGTGCCAGTGAGAAGGCTGTATGCCTGGCAAAGGAGTCTTTGTACTGAATTTGGTTGTTAATCTAGTCCAACTTAAAGAGACAAACCAAATCTCTGCAATTCTATCTTCAAGCTGAAATGTTAGACTTCATTTCCAGTAGTGATGGAAAGAGAGACGTGAAAAGAAATGGTGATATTTGCTATGCTTCTTATGAATGCAGCTAAAAAAGTATTCAGCTATCAGTTACTTGAGCTAAAATCTTAGCCCGTAGTGAGATCTGAGGTCTTCACTGTAGCTTTTGTTTCTGACTGATTAATCCCTTTCTTATTAAAAGGAAAGCATTTTATTATCCCAAGCAAATGGGTGACGATATATTTATTACTGGAAATGCTTAAGATCAATGAATAAAATTATGTCACCTTGTAGAAACCAACACTGATCTGCCACTTTCTGATGTGAAGCAGCTGAAGCATGGACATGCTCCATGTTACCATTTTGAATGGTGTCTGCTTTTATGAGGTGCTTTATAACTGTTCTGAAATTCTTTGTTATTCTGTTGGTTTTTACAGGTTGAAACCTGATTGTGTGTTGGAGCTTGCTGAAGGAATGAGACCCCCTGAACCAGAACCCGAAGTTGTTGTCGAAGAGACCGAAGAAGACAAGAAGGAGAGAAAGAGCTCAACATCCAGTTCATCCTCTTCATCATCATCTTCTGATGATGAAAAAGATGAAGAAAAGAAAAAGAAGAAGGAAAAGAAGAAGAAGGAAAAAGCTGAAGCTGTCGCAGAGGCTGTAGCTACCCCTGAAATAGCAGGAGAAGTTGCGGCAGAGGTGGAGGCAGAAGTGGAGGAGAAGAAGGAAGAAGTTGAAGATAAAAAGGAGGAAGTTGAAGAGAAGAAGGATGAGGTGGAAGAAAAGACAGATGATGCTGCAGTCGTATTAGCCAATGAAGGAGGAACGACTGTGTCAAAGGTTTTCATTTCTGAACAGCGATCATACACCCACCAGTCATCCTCTTCGGAGGAAAAAGGTGTCCCAGAGCAAACGTTTGGTGAAGACATGAATATGTTCTCATCTTCTGAAACTTCATCTTCAGTCACCACAACCACCCGTGTCGTCAGCTCTAAGCAAGTGTTCACCTCCTCCTCTACCACGCAGCAAATAATCACATCAGAAGGAACTACGATTGAAACAATTGAGAATGGTGAATCTGAAAAGGTAAACTACCTAAATAATGTGATACCCTTTGTTCACTTACATCTATCTGTTCATGACCCAATTGACTGTTACCATACTTAAGAGTTGTTGGCAATTTAATCAGGAAGCAGCATGCTGGTGTTGTTTGAGGGTGCTTGATCTAAAATCTGGAGGTGTCTGGTTTAAATTCTCAGTCCTTCCACCAGCTGGAGTTGTTCTTTGTAGTCCCAAGTTAAATTACCCCACTGTGCTATTCAAATACTCAACTGGTCAACGTCCTACTAGTCAGCAATTTTAACCAGTTTTGTTCTATTGCAATATTTGTTTGATAATAAAGTGTTGTCAATAAGCACAGCATTGCTTCAATGTAGCTACTTTGACATTTAGGCAACATCTCAACATCCTTTTTTGGTAATGGAGGTCAGCTAAATTTGCTGACTCTGTTGTCTTTTCAGCTTATGTTGAATGACCCTGATCTTCAAAAAGCAGCTGAAGATATGCTTAATAATGATGCCCATGATGAGGTAAGGAAAATTATATTTCTCACTGTTTTTTTTCCCAAGCTAACAATCCACTTTAAAATAGCCACATCTACTGTATGCTTGTTGATTATATGTATCACTGGTTCGATCAAGTCATACTTTCCTTCGTGATTTTGGATACATCCATGGTTGCAAGTCAGATACCAAGAGTAACATTTCAGGAAGAATTTTATGTCAGAATGGTTTCTTCTTAAAGCGATACTGATTGTTTGGTTTTTCTTACTAATTGTAGTGAAAATCTGAAAAAAAATTATTTACGTCAAGAAGCATATGAATCTGGTTGTGGAATACTCATTCATTCCATGCTGTAAACTTTGCCATTGTGCTGTGTTGGCTCTACAAGATGAAACAAACCATCTGAAACAGCCTTAGGTACCAAAAGGAAATCGTCCAAATAGCACTCTTATTTTGTTAAATTGGATTTTTGTGTACAAATGCAGATTAGATTTGCTTGAAAAAGAACATGGACGGTAGTAGGTGACTTTGTTTTGATGGATGCCTTTATTGAAGTGTGTATTTAAATATAATTTATTATGCAGTTTAAATTAATCGTTATTCTTGTTTAGAATAAGCTGCTATTTACAGCTGTTTTTTGTTTGTTAAATTGTTGAACACTGCTCTTTGAAGAGTGCTTATCTTTGCCATAATTGTTTTTAGGTTGAGCAAGCTTCCAGTTGAGAAAGGCATTCATTTTAGAACAGGTCTAAGTGCAGTTACTTTCTTTTCATTGTTTGTTTTGGCATTTTTGTGTTTGTGTTATGACTAGGTAGTCCTCAGATTACCACCTTCAAGGGATTTGTTTTTTCCTTTTTTATGACCACACATGACAACTTGGTAGAGGTCTACTTTTTGTTTAACATTTTAAGAAAAATAAATCTTCAAGTTGGCAATCCAAACAACCGTAAAATAAATTTGATAGACTGGCCCACCTAGACTAGCATAGCTATCTGTGGGCCAGTCCAGCTGTAAAATGTAGGTTTTATTAAGAAATAAAATGATGATGATGATGATTTAAAAAAGGCAGCAGTTTAAGATATAAATTTAAGTTGTAGATGGAGTTAGGTTGCTTTAAAATAAACATTCAAAAAAATAAACGTAACAGCACTATATGTCCAGTGTAGAGTGATCCATCTACGTTTTCCAAGTTAAAGAATGCCAACTATAATAAGGTTTACACAAAGCGTTGCAGTCTCCAAGAGTTTCCCTTTTGTCGTTCTTGCATATATTATCAAGACACTGCTCATTCCATACTGTTGATATCTTGAAACGCTGCTCCAGTTTTTTCTTTTTTTTTTTGTTTTTCTTAAATAAGAGTGTATTTTAATCCATTATGAAATGAAAGCTTTGTTTGCTGTCACTGAATTTTCTTGAGACAAGTTATAATAGAACATGGTTTTACTGAGGGCAAACATGCCTATTGTTCATCGTGCTATTAAAAGTTTTTAAAACATTTTTCTTTGAAAATATGTCATTGAACACTTGTGGAAGTGCTCAACATGATGAAGTCATAAGCCTTTAATTCACAACTGAAAATTGACATTAACGAGAACTAATTTCTTTAACATAAGTAAGTATAAGGAATTCAAACTCTTCAAATAAAAAAAGGACAAAACAGTGTTAAATTTATACTGGACTTAACTCGTTTTGGCAAAAATCTTTCGCGAGAACTAATTTAGTAAACCGAAATTGTAAAGATACCATGTATAAGATAACTTTGCCTTGATCTAGGGCATGACTCTTCATGTATAATATTTTTAGCATCATTCATTGTACCCTCAATCCTCATTACTCTTAGCTGAATAACGAGTGCCTCTCTCTAAAACAAAATACAGGCAAATGTGTGTGTGCCTTGAGATTGGTTGATAACCCATAGGAATGGTGGCATTGGAGCCAGCAGTTAGTTTTAATTGTCTTCTTGTTTTCTTCCCCCTGCAAATAAAATTATAATGTGAAACCTTCACAGAATATTTTGTTTGTTAGTATGCAAATGAATGCATGCGTCTGTATTTGCAGTGCCTTCCCCCAGTTGTTGTTGGGGGGGGGGGGGGGGGGGGGGTACTCCCTTTTATGGGCTATATAGGTATGTGCGGCCNATTCAAACTCTTCAAATAAAAAAAGGACAAAACAGTGTTAAATTTATACTGGACTTAACTCGTTTTGGCACAAAAATGTTTGAACATTTGGCTCAACAACAGGAAAAAACAATGGAAAAGTCTTAAAATCTGTCATCTGCCCCTTTGGTCTCTGTTCCTCCATCGTCGTGCGTGGTTTATTGAAGTGATAAACCATACAAATCCTGACTAGCGCTTTACAGTTAAAGCCAATTTTTGGGCCTTCCTCTTGGTGAAAGGTAAGGCATTCTCTAACGCTGTTTATTCTTCTCCTAACAGATGGACTCTGTAGATTCTTCTGATAACGACAGAGAACTCACAGCAGCAGTCAGGGGAAAAGGATTCAAGAGCCCAGGAAAACTGTTTATAAAGAAAAACACTGGGAACGAGGGAACCGAAACTGCGGGCTCATAAATCTTGATTTTGATGTATTCACTATACACTAGGGACTTGGATTTAGGAGGCATTTATTGTTTTACATCTCTTCTCCTTGATGGAAAACTACAGCAGCCTTTCAGACGTTTTTGTAGTCAACAGACCATAGTAGCTGTTTCACGTCTTTAGTTTAGTTAGTAGTAGCTTTTTTGTCTGTTTGCATTGATTTTTTTTTGTCTTCATTTGTTTGAGAATCCGAAAGTATCGGAATATTTTCGAGAAGTACGTAAAAAGCAAGGTAACAAACTAGGAGTGTAATTGTTTTGATCACAGATATTCTTTGAGATTGCAGAGATGAATTCGAAGCTTGGCTAGAAGGAAATTTTTGGATGCCTAAGGTATCTTTATTTAACTAATCTTCTTCCCCAGACCGTTTTATTAAGGGACAAATCGCCTTCTGTTCTGGTTAAGTTTCGTACGAAAGCTTTTCCCATAATTAATTGCACACCCAATCTCTCTCCTGTTTTCATCTCTGAAATTCCCGAGGTACATTGCGCCTCTCTTTTCAGTTTTTTTCTCAATTGGAGTGAACTTTTGACTCGCTTGTTTACTCGTTCGTCTGTTTGCAGTCAAAACACGGCAAGAGTTTTTGCTAAGTCGAGTGCCCTGCACTTGAATTAGATTTTTAACTGTAGGATAATTGTTTTAAAGAGTGGCTTCAATTAAAGGTCGTACTTGTAAACTTCTAGTATATGTGATTCTTGGGTCTTCCAACAGATTGCTCTCCCTCCCTTTGTTTCCCTGCCTCTTGGGAGGGTGGCGAAGGGTTTACACGCGATGCGTGACGAGGACGAAACTTTGGGTGACGCGTGATAAGCAAATACCCGAATTTAAAGTGGGAAAAGTTAACAATAGCTAAAATTATATGCTACGTGAATCATGTTACTTCCCTCTCCTGAGCAAGAGGGTTTCAAAGCTGCTTGAATTTTTTCTAGTCTGTTCCAGGCGGTCGTATAGTCGGGGAGCAGCGCAAAAAACACGGCGAGAGGAAAATACTGTGCTCAACTAAACGGAAGTCTTGACAGCCTATGAGTTGTACTCCTCAACCACAACTAAATACTTTGTAGAGGAAAGCTTGAAATTTTAACCACTGCTTTTGTTAAAAGTGGGTTGGTTTTAAGGGTCATCCTTCCACAACATATGGTGGTCTGACGCAACCTTTCGCTCGGGGAGGGAGAAGCGGGACGTTTTTACTTCCTGTCCAAATATTAAAATTTTCGATCCCCGTACGTCATCTGTTCAGTTCACATAATTTGAAAGGAGTGGCAATCCTCTCTAGGCAAAAAGATGGCGACTGGTACATTTACCCACAGTTTTTAGCGCAACCCAGGCTACTCAATGACCTTTGTACAGGGACAAATATAAACATTTGGCTTTCTTAGTGCCTTATAGGCTGTGTTAAGTTTGCAAGGCATTGTAGTAAAATGAACAGCCGCCATCTTTTTTCCTACGGTGGATTGTGAACGATAAGGGACCCGACGTGGGAAAGTTGGCCTTTTTATTCCAAAACATCTCTTGTCAATCCCTTTAGGATCTCCTCACCGGCAGCGATGCCCCTAACAATCTCAAGCTTATAAAAGACCCCCCCTTCCTTGCCAATACCCTAAAACGCTAGCCCGTTAGTACACTTGCAGAAGGCAAGAGGACCTTTTCGCGCCGGAAGTCTGGGCTGATATCGGGTGTACTCGGGGGACTGGGCTAAAGTACCAAAATGGCGGCTGATTGATTCAACTATGGATCGACTCTCATCTCTGGCTTTCGAGGCTGTCTGTACGCCGCATAATAATAATAATGGATGTAGCGTACTACACGCTGCATGCATTGAAAGGGACGTTACTACATGTAAAACTATTCTTTGTTGTAGTCCAAGCAAACTGGACACGGCAATAGCCTTGAGGGTAAAGATGGCAAAGAACTCCAAAGCCACGTGTGACACTTCTGTAACAGCAAGAGATCTTGTCAAAGGTAACAACGACGCTCCAGAATTGTTAAAAATTATCGAGAGTGCCGACAAGAACACACAGCAATTGTCACTCGTGCTTGAAGCGGCACGTAAAGGTAGTGTTAGACACGTCAAAAGAGTTTTAAAGATGGGGGAAAGTATTGACGAACCTTCGCCATTCCGAGACGATGGATCGGCCACGCCTCTGTTACTTGCTGCAGCCTCTAATTCATGTCGAGTTGTACGATTTCTGGTTGAAAATGGAGCAGACGTTAATGGAAAAGACAGAGGTAGGAGAGGAGTTCTCCATTACGCAGCAATGGGAGGAAACAAAGACACAGTCTTGTATCTTCTCCGCTTGGGTGTTCCTGTCGACTGTAAATCGACTTGGGGAAAGAGTGCGTTACACATGGCAGCTGGTAAGGGTTACGCTGAAATTGTAGGCATTCTCACTCAAAATGGAGCTGATCTCCAATCTTCTACCGGATTTGGAGACACGCCTCTCTTACTTGCTGCAGAAGAAGGTCATGTTTTATGCGTAAAGGCACTTGAGCAAAATGGTAGCAGTGTAAATGTCTCAAACATGGCCCTTTACACCCCACTTCACAACGCAGCCAAGGAAGGATACAGAGAAGTTGTGAGTTACCTTCTACGAAGTGGGAGTCGTGTTGATACTACATCTGCTAAAGGAGAAACACCTTTGAGCTTAGCAGTGAGAAAAATTAATAACAAAGACACCGTTGCATTATTACTTTTGTATGGCAGTAGTCTTAACTTGTGTGATCGATATGGACGAACACCTCTTCACTATGCTGTAGAAAAGGAAGTCGCTGAACTTTTAGTTGAGAAGGGTGCTGACCTTCATGTTAGAGACTTTGAGGGGAAAACACCACTGTTCTTAGCAGCATTAGATGGTTATGAAAAAGTTGTTGAGTTCCTTATCGAAAAAGGAAGTACTATAAACATGTCTAGTGGTTCAGGTGACACGCCCCTCCATGAGGCAGCAATCAGGGGGCATGTCAACATAGCCCAACTATTGCTACAACATGGAGCTAACATTAATGCAAGGAGAATGACAGGGGAAACTCCACTCTTTCTTGCTATCATAGCTTGCAAGTTTGAAATGAAGCAACTCTTAATTTCATCTGGTGCTGTTATGAACATTTCGACTTTTGAAGTTCAAGAGGCTTAAGGTAGCCAATAAATATAATAAATTGGAAACATGTCCTTTGTTTCTTTAGAGTTACTGAAAAAAAAAATTGAAGTCTGGAAGAATAAACCAATGTTGGAGTTCCATTGTCCTGAAATTAACCCAGTAAAACTATAGACAGAATTACTTCATTTTTCAATAAATAATCCCAACTTGAATAAACAGATGTCTCTCTGTATTGTCAAGTTATCACCACAGCAAAAGTACCCAGAAAAATTCCATAATGATGATACAGCTATGAAGCAATCCCTATGGTACCCCAGTTATTCATGTCTTCAGAGACCATGATCTCCCAGAGGAGGGGGCATGCTAAGGAGACTTGGCTTAAATGTGATGAAAGAGTATGCATTTTAATACCCCCTAATAATCTCCTTGAGAGGGGATAATTTATACCAAAAAACTCCTATATCAGGAACCACAGTTAAACCCAAAAAATTATATGTCTACCTTCACTTAAAAAAAAAAAAACACAAAAAAACCTAGAAACACCAATGTTTTAAACAGTATTTATTCAAGTTCTTTGCTGTATGTACATACTTATTTCACAGTCTGTCTTTGCTTACAAATCTCTAAATTTTGATATGAATTTAATAATGGTTTGAATCAATAAGAAGTCATTAGGGTTACTGAGTGTAAACCTGTAGGTTAGCCCCCAAAATACCTGCCAGAATCTCACAATCCAAATGAACTGAGCAGAATTTGAAACTGTCCATAATCGCAACTACATAAGGCACAAATGAAATCTCC